ATTAAGTAATAATACTGTAATTACATTTGTTGTAACATAATTCGACTTTGTTGCCTTTTAAACATGTCATCCCGGTCCCTCTCTAAAAACACCGCCAGCTGGGCAGCTCACACTCTATTGGGCCAAAACCACCAGAAAGGATCCTTATTGGATATTTACCACCTATAGAATGCTCTTACCAGTGGTCATGCTACCCCCTATGGAAAGTCCATTGGTTAGGAACCAAATTACCATCCAATCCTTCAATTTCATCGGAATGATCGAACAATCTTTTTGATCTTGTTTTTTCCTTTGTCCAAAAATGGAAAAGTAGGTAGTTTTGTCCTCTTCGAAAATCCAAAGTAACCATTTCCTGTCACGTTTCTTACTTTTCTTCCAAATCCAGAAGATTTACTAGCTGTGTGTAGCGCTGAACCACTAGCTAAATCTGAAGAAATTGTGATAAACTAGTAGTATTATTTTCCATCAGAAGAAATGAGCTAATGTTTCTGTTTTTACTTACAGGAATCTGAAAGATACAAAACACTGATTCGGCAACACATAGACCTAGAAATAATACAATCCAGACTTGAGAAAGGGCTCTATTCCGATTGTACCCCGAAGTTCTTTAGAGATCTCCTACTTTTGTTCAACAACTTCACTATTTTCTACCGCAAAAGTTCTCAGGAACATATTGCCGCTCAAGAGCTCCGGGAATTGGTCTGTAAGGAAATGATGACACTGTTGCCCACGAAACCAGTACAGGAACCTGCGACTTCTGTGAAATCTGAACCTGACAAACAACGGGCTTCGCTTTCAAAACCTACCAAGTCTTCCACCATGGTTGCTTGTGGTAAGCGCAGTTCCATCAAAGCAATAACAGAGAATGCTAGTAAGAAGGGAGATAAAAAGGAGAGAGAGGTTGAGGAAAAGCCGAAGGCGAATGAGAAGAAGGTTGATGGTTCTTTAGTAGGGATTGATGAGAAGGGTATAAGGAAGAAAAGGAGTAAAGAAAGATCAGTAACGGGCCAGAGAAACTCTAGAACAAGCAACAAGAGTGGGGAGGTAAAGCATGAGTTTGGTGGCAACGAGCTTAGCTCTCATGACACTTTGGAGCTTAAAACGGATAAGAAAGAAAGTGTGGTGAGGAAAAAACAAGGTGCGGCAGGTTTCTTGAAAAGAATGAAGCAGAATTCGCCAAGTGAAGTGATAGAGAATGATAATGAAGATAATGATTCGGAGGACCAGAGCAAAGACGGAAAAGGGGAGGAGGAGAAAAAGGGGAAGGGAAGGAAGAGAGAGGTGATGAAGAGAGAAAAGATTACGAGGAGTTCAGGAGGAAGAGGGGCAAGAGATGAGAGTGGGAAAGGGAAGAGAGGGGTTGGGAGGCCGCCGAAGAGAGCAGCGGCAGAGTCGACACCAAAGAGAGGGAGGGAAAGTGGTGAGAATGAGGCAGGGGGCAGGGGTAAGAAACGGACCAGAAGGTGATTGAGATTGTTGTATGATGTAAAGTATCCTTTTTCTCTATATATATTTTTATTTTGGCTTTTTGATGGTAAAAATGAAAATGGGGAAAGGCGAATGGAATGTCATGATCAACTTCTTGTAGGATGGTTTTGTTTTAGCCACTGACAGGTTTTGAATGTAACAATCCAAAGATTAATGGTATAGATTATATTCGGTTAATAATCAATTTCACATGGTCCCTGAGAGGGAATTGATCTCTTCGTATCCCTGAAGAAGAGCAATTGCTACAGAAAGTCGAAATCCAAATTTTCTCTTAGAAAGAGTTGAGATACCTAACAATTAATATTAAAAAAATATTCTTAACTTGTATTATTAAAAAAAAATTGTTTTTATTTAATTTCCATCACTTTTTTTTTTTTTTGTACAATATCATTTCTCGTATGAGGTCTCAAAATTACCTGTTTGCACTGACGACATGAAGTTTCTTTGATATCAATAATATCATACACATTTAGGACCAAAACAGGTCCTCAAATTGCTTTATTTTTTTAAGGAAAATGTTAAATAACTTTTTATAAATGCTAGGGTGTTTCACTTAAAGATGAAGAGAACCTTCCTAGTTTTTTTGTTTGTTTATTATTATTATAAATAAAGCGTCCACATTCAACCTAACTTGTTATAGTCTTTTGTCAAGTCAAAAAGAAGTACTGTCTGTTGGTTGGGGAAATTGTTATCCTTTTCTGGCCTTTTGTTAGTACATAAGTTCCTTAACTAGTGGGCACGGTGCCACCTGGCTCAGATTGGGAACACCCGGGGCTGGCCGAGGTTCTAGTCGGTAGTCGGTCCAGTCCCATCTCCAATTCTTTCTTCTTTTTTTTTTTTAATATTGAATTAACGAGTTAGTATCTATTCAAAATTAAAATCGAATTAATATTCAGACAAACTCCACTTACTACTCATGCAGTAGTGTAACCAATTCATTGGGTTACATAGAGAGTTCATTCTTTCTTTCTCTCCTAATATTGCATCAAAAGAAACTATGACTGGATGAAATTGAAATCTTCCTGTAATTAGACTCAGAAGTCAAAAAAAATCTAAACGTAACATTCATTGGCTTAAAATTTACTACTTTCTCCATTCAT